TTATAACTTCCCGTAGTGTAAGTTATAGTAATCACAAAAAATCGATAATGAAAATTTTTATGTATCTTCACGTTCCAAAGGTTTCTGAACATGCTAGCTTACCCTAGAAAAAATGAATGTATGTGTGTGTATGCATGTGTATGTGTGTGCGGATACAAAATTTCGTCGACGATTTTGGGAACACAGATCAACCGATTTGAATAATTGAAAAAAACATTCGATTTGTATTGATAAAGAGACGTGCTGATTAGCTTTTGGCAAAAATAGGTCGAGCTGTTTCGAAGATACGGGGGAAAACAGCCAAAAATCGTAATCGTAAGTTTTTGAGAGAACGAAGCGTCCGATTTCAATAATTCAAAAAACATTTTATTTGTATTGACTAAACAAAAAACTGTTCATATTTTTGGAAAGGCAGGTCCTGCGGTTATTAAGTTTCAATAAAAAAACTTTAAAAATGCCTTTTGGCGATCAAAAATGTTCATTAGATTATAAAGATTTTAATACACATTTTGTGTCAATTTTTTTGGGTTCCATACCAAGTTTTTTAATTTTAAAATTTACGTATATGGTTCAAACAAATGTTCTCGACATTTTCCACAGTATGGAATAACCAATTTGTATGGTGGAAAAAACATTCGGTTCGTACTCGATCAGTAGACGGAATTTAGCGCAAAAGGTGTAAAAGTAGTCAAGCAGCTTTTGAGAGAGCGGCTCATCCGATTAGATTAATTCAGAAAACCTTTTGCTTGTGTAGACAGTGTGCTAAAAATGCTTTTACAATAAATTTTGTAATTTTGAATACTTTCAAAAAAAAAATCGAAATTTTCAAATTTTTTTTGAAGAAATGTCAAAAGTATCAAAATATAAAAAAAATCTATTTTTTACAAAAATCTGAAAATATTTCGAAATTTTCAAAAAAACATATTTATGATAATCTATTTGAAATTATTTAAAACAATTATTGATTATTTTCATTCCTCGAATGTTTAATTACGGTACGGGAAGTTACAGCAATTTGCCTTAAGGCACGATGATATGCACTACTAGTTCTACCAAAGCTTCAGATCGTTTGGCATACCTTAAAAGAAATGATTATATGCATGTATTTTGTTGGTGCGTATATTAAGCGTATATAGGCATGTAACAATATGAAACGATTTAGGGAAAACGAATTTTTCGATTTTACAGCAAAAAATCTAAGAATTGACTTTAAAATTTTACAAAACCAGGTACAGCGGTTCGAAGATGCGACTGAAAAAACAAACTAGTGTTTGTTTCATGGCATCGTGCCTTAAAGCAAATTGGTGGAACTTCTCGTACCGTATTTTAAATTTTTTTGAAAACTTAGAAAAAATTAAAGTTTTGAGAATTTTGAAGTTTGAAGAAAAATTGTTTTTTTTAATATTTTGAACTTCTTTAAAAATTTAGAATATATTTAAAGCAGCGCAATGCGTAGCTGCTCTAGAGATGAAATATAGGAGCGCGTAAGCTCCTCGTCCCTGTCTAACAGTTATATCAGGGCCTTTTTCACTTAGAACAAAATCCTCGTTCAGAAGGAATACTTAGGGGTCCATTTGTAGTCGCAGATTTGGCGCTAGTGAGCCGATGAAAAAGTATTTTCAAATGTTTTATATTGGTTACTAAGAAACGTCAGTGTTATTTTTGTATAAGTTTACAAAATGGCGATTCTTCTTCGTTTGTGTTTGTATATTTGTTAATAAAGATTTCATCAGGAATTGCTCTCAAATGCATAGCCCTTTGACAATATGAATAGAACAGCTTCAAACTCATATGGAGGACATAATTACTACAATACTACGTAGTGCATTGACTCATAGCAATGTAAATGTACTTATTATTAAAATTTCTGATAATTTGATGCGCATATGTCTAATGAAAATTTTTGAACGCAAAATGAAGGAAATGAAATATTTAGAAAAAACTTTATTTTTAATTCCAAAAAATTTCAAACTTCTAAAAACATTTCAAAATTTTGAAAAAAAATCTAAATTATTAAAAAAATTCTAAACTTGTTGGTATTGGTACAATTAATTACATGAACTTCCCGATATGTGTAAATAATCGACTTAATCAATGGAAATTAAATCAATTTGTGAGTGATTGAAAGTATTCCGAGTAGATTAATTAACACGTTAATTCGGAGTATTTTCTAAAAGCAAATGTTCAAAATTCAATAATTTTTATAATTAAACCAGTTTCCGTAGGACTATAATGGTTTAGTATGTTCATTAAGACCAAGTACTCTATCGTTATACCAAGTAATTCGTCTAATTTTAAGTTTAGCAAACGTCTAAAAAACTTTCAAATTCTGATGAATTTTCAAAATTAAACTACTTGTCGTAAGGCCGTAATATTTCAGTAAGTTCTATGAGACCATGATATATTATATCGGAAAAAAAAATCCATAAAAATCGGCTTAAATTTTTTTTTCGACAATTAATTACAAGAAAACGGCTCGGTAGATTTTCATCTAAAACTAATCAATATCATCCCCAACTAATATATTTCGAACAGTTTTTGATTTTTTTAAAATCGATTCGGTAATATGAGCCTAAATGTGGACGAAAAGTTTAACACTTTTTTTCAAATTACAAAGAAACGGCTCTGGAGATCGTCGCACAAAATTGACAAACGATAGTCCTCATCGAGATACATGAAATAGTATAGTATAGTATAGTCGATGAAAGGTCCAATTTTGACAAATGCCAAAAAAACGATACTAATTTTTGCAAACTTTGACGAATATTTAAAGATAAACGACTTGTCGTATGGCCGTAATATTTTAGTATAATTTAGAAGACTATGAAATCTACCGACAAAAAATAATAAAAATCGAAAATTTTTTTTTATAACACCTTATTACAAGAAAACGGCCCGGCCGATCTCTACCATAAACTAATCAGCACGATTCCCAACCAATATCTATCCAACGGATTTTGAATTTTCAAAATCGATTCAGAATAGCGGGCTGAAACGTGGATGATTTTTTTTTTACTTTTCTGCTATTTATAAAGAAACGGCTTGGCCGATCGTCGCACAAAACAGAGAAACAATAGTACTCATCGAGATACATCGAATGGTTTTTGAATTTTTGAAATCGGTCCAACCGTTTCTGAGAAAATGTCGATTTACGGCAAAAATCTATACATATTTTTTCCAAACATGTTTCCAAACTTGGTCTCATTTGATTCAGAATGGCTTGAAACGTCGAGAAAACATAAAATTAGCGAATCGGATTTTTTGATGAACACATAAACTTCTCCTTCGGTAAGTTAATTATCAAAAAAAATCAAATTAAAAAAAAGGCTCTTATAAACGTATGCATAAGTTGTTTATAAAATACGCTCGTCGCCCAATTTAAAAAGAACATATAAGTTTAAAGTATGTATTTATAATAAGTAATCTACTTGAAAATCTTCAAAACAATTATTGATTATTTTTTCATTCCTCGAATGTTTAATTACGGTACGGGAAGTCCAGCAATTTGCCTTAAGACACGATGCCATGCGCCCCACTAGTTTTTAACTTCCCGTAGGGCAAGTTATAGTAATCGCAAAAAAATCGAAAATGAAAAGATATATAAAATCTTTACGTATCAGAGGTTTCTGAACATTTTGGCATACCTTAGAAAAAATGGATGTATGTGTGTGTGTGTGTGTGTGTGTGCGTGTGTGTATGTACGTGTGTGTATGTATGTGCGTAAACAAATTTTCGTCGACGATTTCGGGAACACGAATCAACCGATTTGAATAATTCAAAAAGCATTCATTCGTATTGATAAGGAGACGTGCTGATTAGTTTTTGGCAAAGGCAGGTCCAGCCGTTCCAAAGATACGGGGCAAAAAGTGCCGAAAACGGTAACTCAGTTTTTAAGAGAACGGAGCGTCCGATTTTAATAATTCAACTGCTGTAAGTGGAATTCTGTAAGGCAATTAAGGCATCGTGCCTTAAGGCAAATTGCTGGAACTTTACGTATCAAAAATTATTATTTTTTTAAAAGCGATTGACATTTTTAGAAAAAAATTACTTCGAAAAAATAAGATTTTTGAGAAACTATAAATTGGACAAAAAATTACTTTTTTTTGAAAAGAAAAATTTTTTTTTTAATTTTTTTTTGAAAAAATAATGTTTTCTTTATTTTGGCATATCTTGGAAGATCTGAACTTTTTTTCAAAGCAATCGTACTGCTTTAACTGCATAGAGACTAAATGTCAAAGCGCGTAAGCGCCGCGTCGCCGTCTAACAAATAAACATTGGTACGGAACCCATAGGAATGCAAACAAAATTTATACTTATTGTTAAAATCTCTATAAAATATCTGATAATTTGATGTGCATATGTCTAATGATCATTTTTGACCGCCAAATGGCATTTTTTTTTACTTTTTTCGTTAGATCTCCGAAACCGCTAGACCTGCTCTCATAAAAATTTGATCAGTTCTTCATCTTATCAATATAAATAAAATGTGTTTTGAATTATTAAAATCGAACGCTTCGTTCTCGTAAAATCTGAGTTACCGTTTTTGGCACTTTTTGCCCCGTATCTTCGGAACGGCTAGACCTGCATTCGCTAACTAATCAGCATGTCTCCTTATCAATACGAATCGAATGTTTTTTGAATTATTCAAATCGGTTGATCGTTGTTCCCGAAATCGTCGACGAAAATTTGTATCCGCACACACACACGCACACACACATACATCAATTTTTTCTAAGGTACGCCAAAATGTTCAGAAATCTATGAAACGTAAAGATATATAAAAATTTTCATTTTCGATTTTTTGCGATTACTATAACTTGCCCCACGGGAAGTTAATAAATTAAATATACTTCTTAGTTATTTTATTTAATTAAATATACTTGTTAGTTGTTTTAAATCATATATTTTCTATTGAAATATTTTCAGAAATAATTGTTCGCAAATTAATTTAGTTTAAACACAAAAACAGAGTATAATACGCAAAAAAATATCAAACATACCTAAGGTTCTGAAAATTTAGGATATTCGTAAAAGCCAATATGTGATTCGTTATATGGGCTAACTATTAATTGTTTGTTAGACTTATCAGACAGTAGTTCTTTAAGTTTTTTCTGGTTGGTCAGATCACGCTTTGACAATTTTATATAAGGTTCCATATTCAAATTGTCCGCTAATTCCTCATATGGGGGTATGTCAATTAAATCTGTATTATGAAGATTAGGTTCTTTGTTATCAGATAAAGACAGATGAGTATCATCAACTAATTTTTCGAAAGCTTCTGTGCTGAACTCATATCTATTGATCAGCGGTAACATCCCGAATGGTGCGAGAGGATATTTGTATTTTTGAGTGTTCATGAGATGTACAGATGGTTCAGGACACATAGTTGGCATTGGTTCAGTTTCCTGTAAAAAAGAAATTTATTGAATTACTTGCTTATGATCATATTTTAATATAAAACTAGTGGGGCGCATGGCATCGTGCCTTAATGCAAATTGCTGAGATTTTCCGTACCGTAACTAAACATTCGAGAAATGAAAAAATAATCAATTATTGTTTTGAAGATTTTCAAATAGATTATTTATTATAAATAGATATTGTAAATTTATAAATAGATATTGTAAATTTATAGATATTTTAAATTGGGCGATGAGCGTATTTTATAAACAACTCATGTGTACGTTTACCGAAGTACATTTTTTTAAATTAGATTTTTTTGATAATTTAGAAATTTTTTGATAATGTAGAATTTTTTTCGAAGTTTAAAATTCTTTAAAATTTAAAAAAAAAGTTTTTTTTAAAATATGTTGAGAATTTGGAAATTTTTGAAAATATTCTATTTTTTTTTTAATTTTCGAAATATTCTCAAATTTTTGTAAAATTTTTTTTTTTTAATTTTTCAAAATTTAGTTTTTCTTTGAAAATGATGAAATATTTCGAAAATTTGAATTTTTTGAAGCTTTGAATTTTTTTGAAAATTTTAATTTTTTTTTTTTAATTTTCGAAAATTACTAAATTTTCTGTAAATGCATTTTTTGCACACCATCTACTCAAGCAAAATATATTTTTAACTTCCCGTAGGGTAAGTTATAGTAATCGCAAAAAAATCGAAAATGAAAATTTTTATATATCTTTACGTTTCAGAGGTTTCTTAACATTTTGGCATACCTTAGAAAAAATGGATGTATGTGTGTGTGTGTGTGTGTGTGTGTGTGTGTGTATGTATGTATGTATGTATGTATGTATGTATGTATGTGTGTGTATGTATGTGCGGATACAAATTTTCGTCGACGATTTCGGGAACACGGATCAACCGATTTTAATAATTCAAAAAACATTCGATTCGTATTGATAAGGAGACGTGCTGATTAGTTTTTGGCGAAGGCAGGTCCAGCCATTCTAAAGATACGGGGCAAAAAGTGCCGAAAACGGTAACTCAGTTTTTAAGAGAACGGAGCGTCCGATTTTAATAATTCAAAAAACATTTGACTTGTATTGACAAGATGAAGAATTGATCAAATTTTCATAAAGGCAGGTCTAGCGGTTTCGGAGATCTAACGAAAAAAAGAAAAAAAAAATGCCATTTGGCGGTCAAAATGATCATTAGACATATGCACATCAAATTATCAGATATTTTATAGAGATTTTAACAATAAGTATAAATTTTGTTTGCATTCCTATGGGTTCCGTACCAATATTTATTCGTTAGACGGCGACGCGGCGCTTACGCGCTTTGACATTTTGTCTTTATGCAGTTAAAGCAGTACGATTGCTTTGAAAAAAGATCTTCCAAAATATGCCAAAATAAAGAAAACATTATTTTTTCCAAAAAAAATTTAAAAAAAAAAAAAAATTAGATTTTTTTTTGAAAAAAATTTTTTTTCAAAAAAAAGTAATTTTTTGTTTAATTTATAGTTTCTCAAAAATCTTATTTTTTTGAAGTAAATTTGTTTTAAAAATGTCAATCGTTTTTAAAAAAATAATAATTTTTGGTACGGGAAGTTCCAGCAATTTGCCTTAAGGCACGATGCCTTAATTGCCTTAAGACAGAATTCCACTTACAGCTAGTTAATTAATCTAATCGGTTAATACGTTCTCTCAGGAACTGCATAACCGTTTTTACACCCTTTACGCTCCGTATCTCCGAAACGGCAAAATTGCCTTTTGCAAAATGCCTCGCAATCGAGTACGAATTGAATTATTTTTTAATCACACAAATCGGTTATTCCATACTGTCGAAAATGTCGAAGACATTTGTTTGACGAAAATTTGTATCCGCACACACACACGCACACACACACTTACATCCATTTTTTCTAAAAATAAGATATGCCAAAATGTTCAAAAGGTTTTGATACGTAAAGATCTATAAAAATTTTCATTTTCGATTTTTTTGCGATTACTATAACTTGCCCTACAGGAAGTAATGACATTTGGCGGTCAAAAACACATTAGACGTATGTACATCGTATTATCAGATATCTTATAAAGATTATAATAATAAGTACAAATTTTGTGTACATTTATATGGGCTCCGTACCAATGTTTACACGTTAGAGACGATCACGATTTTGATATTTCGATTCCAAATTTTGCTATGCAACGCGATTGCTTGAAAAAAATATTCCAAACTTTCAAAATAAATCAAAATACAAAAAAGCAAAATGTAAAAAACTCAAATTTCTGTACTAAGTCAAATTTTCAAAAATCTGATTTTTTATAAGTTTTTTTTTAATAATTTAGTTTTTGGTACCTGAAGTTATAGCAATTTGCCTTAAGCCACTATGCCATGCACCACCAGTTTTGAGGGCGATTAAAATATATTTTCAAATTAATTGTAATAAAATATAACCAAACAGTTCTGAATCATATAAAATAATAATCAGTATCTTGGGTCGTTTGATATCATGTTAATTTTACTAATCTAAACGGAGAGCTGATTGTAAATTCATTCCCTTAATATAACAACTCAATAATAGTACCTACCAATATCGTGTCTAAAAATCAGACCACTACCATAAATATTGGATCATTGCATTTTTTGGGTGTTTAATAATTGTTTCGAAAAGAATTTATATTGAAAAATTGAAACTAATATTTACGTTTGGCGTAGCCTTAGCACGCAGACTCTGATCGTCATTGTAGGTCATTGTAGGCCTGATTCGAGTTGGCACATCACTAGTATTGGTATACCTTCTATATGCTAGCTGTAAGTGGAATTCTGTCTTAAGGCAATTATGGCATCGTGCCTTAAAGCAAATTGCTGGAACTTCCCGTACCGCAATTCAAAATTCGAGTAATTAAAAATAACCAATAATAATCAAGAAGAGTTGATCAATGATTTGAAACTTTTAATAAAATTTCGAACCATATTAAATCGTTCTATCTTAAATCATTTATTTTGAAATATTTTAGAAATTCTGAACTTTTTAACTTCCCGTAGGGCAAGTTATAGTAATCGCAAAAAAATCGAAAATGAAAATTTTTATATATCTTTACGTTTCAAAGGTTTCTGAACATTTTGGCATACCTTAGAAAAAATGGATGTATGTGTGTGTGTGTGTTTCATTCCATTTTTTCCGCAGACCACACACAGACAACAAAATAGAACTTAGAATTTAGAAAACATTGACACCGAAGTAGATTCATATTCTGGCGAACCATATATGGATTTACGAACTGCCGAAAAACAATAATAAAATTTCACGGTTTTCAAAATAATTCACTTTCATATATAGGGGAGACTGGGTACGGTTGTGCTAAGGTCCGGTAGTGACAGTCGTCAAAAAAGCTAAACTATACTGATTTTGAGATAGTGTCCAAGAGTAAAAGATGTAGTATATTTGTTTGAACAAGCTCCCATTGCTTTTAAAGAGTCAAAATTCCTTTTTGCTCACATAATTTAGCTCAGTCATAATGATGATTTGTTTTCAAGAGTGTGCGTTGGGTACGGTTGTGATAAATTTTCGGGTATACTTCTTGTCCTTTTCGGATGAAGATTAAACAGATAAATAAAATCAAATTATCAAATATTTTATAGAAATTTTAACAATAAGTATATATTTTGTTAACATTCCTATGGGTTCCGTACCAATGCTTATGCGTTAGACAGCGACGCGGCGCTTACGCGCTTTATATTTTGTCCCTATGCAGTTAAATCAGTACGATTGCTTTGAAAAAGAAGTTCAGATCTTCCACAATATGTCAAAATAAAGAAAAAAAAATTTTTTTTCAAAAAAAAAATTTAAAAATTTTTTTTTTTTTAAAAAAATTTTTTTTTCAAAAAAAAGTAATTTTTTGTCCATACATATACTTTCTCAAAAATCTTATTTTTTAATCGTTTTTAAGAAATTAATAATTTTTGGTACGGGAAGTTCCAGCAATTTGCCTTAAGGCACGATGCCTTAATTGCCTCAAGACAGAATTCCACTTACAGCTAGTTTTCAAAGCAATCGTACTGCTTTAACTGCATAAAGACGAAATATCGAAGCGCGTAAGCGCTGCGTCGCCGTCTAACGCGTAAACATTGGTACGGAACCTATAGGAATGTAAACAAAATTTATACTTATTGTTAAAATCTCTATAAAATATCTGATAATTTGATGTGCATATGTCTAATGTTCATTTTTGACCGCAAAATGGCTCATTTTTTTACTTTTTCCTCCATATCTCCAAAGTCGTTGGACCTGCCTTTCCAAAAATTTGAACAGTTTTTCATTTAGTCAATGCAAATAAAATGTTTTGTATTATTCAAATCGGACGCTCTGTTCTCTTAAAAACTGAGTTACCGTTTTCGGCACTTTTTGCCCCGTATTTTCGGAACGGCTAGACCTGCCTAGAATGTTTTTTGAATTATTCAAATCGGTTGATCCGTGTTCCCGAAATCGTCAACGAAAATTTGTATCCGCACATACATACACACACACACACACATATATCCATTTTTTCTAAGGTATGCCAAAATGTTCAGAAACCTCTGAAACGTAAAGATATATAAAAATTTTCATTCTCGATTTTTTTGCGATTACTATAACTTGCCCTACGGGAAGTTAAATATATAAAAATAAGTCGGGTTTTCCTTCCTGACGAAATAACTCCAGAACGCACGAACCGATTTCGACAATTTTGCATTCGTTGGAAAGATCTCGGGCTCCGCAAGGTTTATAGCTGAGAAAATTAGTTGTGCATGGCATCGTGCCTTAATGCAAGCTGCTGGTACTTCACGCACCGTAATTGAAAATTCGAGTAATGACATTAGTGAAAATTATCAGAATTATGCTTGGTTAAGTCAACGAGCAATTATTGACGCAAAGAATAATGATGTACACGCACTGAATTTCACCATTCAATCAAAAATTGCTGGCGATTTGGTGACATACCAATGCTTCCGACTGGTCTTCCGTTTGACTTCAAACGATTGCAATTTCCAGTTCGCCTTGCGTTTGCAATAACAAGTCGCAAGGCCAATCGCTTAGTGTTAGCGGGATAAATTTCAAATAGATTATTTAGAAAATCATTGTTTTTCACATGGGCAGTTATACGTTGCATGTTCACGAGTTGGAAAACCATCCGCTTTGTTTGTGTTAACGTCAGACCAAAAAACAAAAAATGTGGTTTACCAAAGAGCACTTCAATGAAAGGGATAATTTGCGGATTCACTTTTATTTACTTAGAGAAGTTCAACTAAAAACACATCATTTTTGTAATCGAAATAAATTCATTACTGTTGTATAATAAAATAAAATTTTTCCTTTTCAAATATAAAACAAACAAAAAATTTCTTCATTTTTCTCACGAAACCATCTGGTGGCGAAACGGAGTTCGTCGGGTTTGCTAGTATATAAATATATATATATATATATATATATATATATAGATATATATATCTCGTATATATATATATATATATATATATATATATATATATCAAAGTATATTTTTCAAAGGAATTATTTATTATAAATTATTTTGTTTTATAACAAAAGAAATGCATAAAAAATATTTACCACCAAACTAGGTTTAACACCCAAAGCTAGTTCGCTCAAAGCATGTTCCTTTGCTGCTGAAAAAGCTGACTCTACAATTCCCTGAGCAGTTTTTAGGCCAGTAAAGTTTTGTGGTGCCGATTTGTTCGTACCAAAAATTTTTATTGTTGGAAATCCTCGCACATCATATTGGTTACTTAGGGATTTATACTCTTTAGCATTTACTGCTCCAACTTCCACCACTCCTTTAAGGGCTGTAGCTGCTTTTGAATACTCGGGTTCCAGATTTATGCAATGTATACACGATGGTGCGAAAAACTGCACGATCCAAACTTTATTACTATTCAGAACTAATCTATCAAAGTTATCAGCTGTTAGGTCCACTACATCACTATTGGTAGGATAAAGAGCCGTGGAAGCCCATATCATCAAAAAAATATCTAGAAAATAAATTATTATGAGTTAGAAATTAAAAATTATATTTATTATTATATATCGTTATTATTATATATCTATAGAATACATAATATAGATTATACCACTAACACTTACATAGTAAACGAATCATGTCTACGTTGTTAAATTTGAATTATTCAAATTTATGATTTTTACGACAAAACTGTTATGTTTTGCTTTTGTTTTAGTAAGCTTAACTATATTGTTTGACATAAGACCAAATAAATTATTCATTTGTTCGACTCGTCCCTATGAGTGATAAATTGTAAACACTCTATAAATTTTCAAATTTCGTGGACTTTTGTGATTGGTGAACTTTTTATATTTACATTTTTCAAATACTGACTGACACAAACGTTTTTACTTCCAAAAAAAAAAAAAAATTACACACTATGCATTCGATTTAACGTTAATTCAACCAACTTTGTATCGAACCGTATAGAGTTGAAGAAAGGTAAAGTTATCTTGTCAAAATGACAGCATAGCAACGTTAAAACAAAAAATTAAAACACATCAACACTGCGAGTACACAGCTTGACGTAAAAGATAAATAAAGGCAGATTGTGAAATTGTAATTATGTTGTGATTCCGTAATTAGTGTAATCCAACAACTGTTGAAGGCCATGAATGCATCGAGTTTATATGTGTCGACTTGTCGGCTTTTTATTCAACCGGATTTAGACGATCAATCTTCTTGGTGCGATTTATATCGCTCGGTTCTATATTTGAGACAGTCTTTAATCATAAACATGCATTGTTTGCGAAAATATTTAATATAAATTCAAAGCTAGTGGTGCATGACATCATGCCTTAAGGCAAATTACTGGATCTTTGCCTACCAAACAAAGAAATTATTCAAGATAGGTGCAACAGGTTCCAAAAAAGTGCTGTAGCTGTATTTGTCGCACACGTGAAACAACCATATAGCTCGACCCTCCGAAATCGCAACTGTTACATCACTAGAAGATGCTTTACGATTAATAGAGAAACATTAGCCATATTAGAAACGATGTAGAGAATTTTTGGTACCACAGTAACAAATCACCAAGTTATTAAAATATGAGAGACGGTTTTGCATTTCCAAGAAATGTCAATTCAACAAATTCAAATTATGCGAAACTAATTTCAATAATCCACAGATGTTAGATGTTAAATATTTTTCACTATCCAAGTCTAAAACCAATACGACATAACCAGCAAAATTTTTAATTTTTAAATCATACAAATAATATAAAAAATATACCCAATCAAACACCAATGATTGAGGTATTGGTATTAACCATTTTTTCCGCAGACCACACACAGACAACAAAATAGAACTTAGAATTTAGAAAACATTGACACCGAAGTAGATTCATATTCTGGCGAACCATATATGGATTTACGAACTGCCGAAAAACAATAATAAAATTTCACGGTTTTCAAAATAATTCACTTTCATATATAGGGGAGACTGGGTACGGTTGTGCTAAGGTCCGGTAGTGACAGTCGTCAAAAAAGCTAAACTATACTGATTTTGAGATAGTGTCCAAGAGTAAAAGATGTAGTATATTTGTTTGAACAAGCTCCCATTGCTTTTAAAGAGTCAAAATTCCTTTTTGCTCACATAATTTAGCTCAGTCATAATGATGATTTGTTTTCAAGAGTGTGCGTTGGGTACGGTTGTGATAAATTTTCGGGTATACTTCTTGTCCTTTTCGGATGAAGATTAAACAGATAAATAAAATCTAATTTAACTAAGACAAAACAAAAAAGAGACAGAGAAAAATATTAGAAAAGGAAAAAAAGGTTTCACAAAAAAATATTGTTAACTTTGTTTAAAAAATTATATTTTGTTATATATTGTTATAATCTATTCATAAACATCGCTTGAATATTTATTTTGTGCTGTGTTACATAATATTGTTAACGATAATGAATGCCGTTATAAACCATTTTGATGTTTATAGCTATTGTTTTTTAATCTATTTTTATGTCTGTCCCTCAGATGTGGACAGTTGTGAAACTCTCCCTTTTCTGGCATGATTTGATTTTATGACAAATCCATCGTATTTAAGAACAGTATTTCAGTACGTTAACGTAGACAAATGTTCGATTTACCATTTAATTTATTTTTGTCCCAGCTAACTGGTGGCACAACCGTACCCAGTCCCTACCACTTACTGGTTATTCTATATACGTTTGAAAAACATTATTTTTTTAATAAATATCGCTATAAATTAATATTTTAGCAAAGAACTCAATATTTAAGTGCTTTTTTGTAAGCCATAAAATATTATATCATTATCTATCAATATATGTACATATCTTTTCTGAAGTGCAGAAATATTGAGATATTAAATATATTAAATTTTTTTAGATAAATTTGAGAAAATGAGTAATTATATATATATATATATATATATATATATATATATATATACATGCATATATACATATACACACACAAGATATACAGATCCAACAATATATACCTATATATGTACACATATACATGTACGACTATATGTATATGCGTACATGTATATGTGTACATATATAGGTATATATTGTTGGATCTGTATATCTTGTGTGTGTATATGTATATATGCATGTATATATATATATATATATATATATATATATATAATATGTATGTGTGTGTATATGTGTATGTATATATATGTATATATGCGTAGGTTTATATGAGTGTACTTAGATATTTTTGCCTATATTTTTTAATTATTTATTTAATTCTAGTCTCTACTACCTTTCCTATCTTTTATATTTGGTTTGTTGTTAAGTGTTGCTGTTTGTTAATTTTCCTCTTATTGTATAGTTACTTTACCAATCCACATATATTATAATTACCTAGATATACTAATTTTCATACTGTTTTTAGATCCACTGATGATGACATTAAATTGAATGTCGAAACGTTTGGAAATAAAGATTATTTTATAAATCTTTGGCTTTTCTTTGTTTGATGTATCGCCCTCAAGAACTCACTCATATATATATATATATATATATATATATATATATATACATATATTAGGGTGGTCCTTATAATGGTCATTTCCGAATTTCCTTGCTCCCAGGGGCTCAAAGAGTTCCAAATAGATAAAAAACAAATCTCTGAAAGTTTTAGCTCTTAATATTAACGTTTAGATAGAGCGCAATTCAATCAAAGTTTTGTATGTAAATAGCTTGGAAAAATTTTCAAAAATTTTAAAAAGCGCTGATATATATATATATATATATATATATATATATATATACGAGCATACCCAGCCTTGCGTTGCAACGGCCTTTATTAAAATCCACCTGATTGAAGTTTGTAATAAAAAATTCATATCAATTGCAAATTAAATAAAATCCGGATCGAAATTGGAATATGATGGATCAATAATTAAAATGAAATAATTGAGGATTTGAATAAATAAGTACATTACAAAATTTATAATAAATAACCAAGTGATGTTTTGGTATTAAGTCCTATTTACCTTGCTAACATTTTAACATGTTCTATTATGCTGTATTTAGAAATGGTTTCATTGGTCACAAACTATTTGGAACTTGCTATAAGCCCTTAATATTTTCTTTGAAATTTTTTCATAAATTTATAATTAGACACTCACCGATTTTAATGATTTTTTTTTAAATTTGTGATCACTTACGAATCACATATAATATAAATTTACAACTATAAATTGATATTCATACTATCCCTGAAACTAACATGGATAGAGTTCTGAAGAATCCGAGTCCAAATCTATTAAATATTAGATTTTTGGCACTTTTATTAATTTTTATCAATTTTTGTACTATAAAATAATGAATAATTATTTATCAAAATTGTAATATTTATAATATAATTTTAGATGTTTACTATCTATTTTGCCTTCGCAATTATTTTTTTTTATATTTTTTTATTTGAAATCAAGTGAAACATAAATATATTTATTTGATATTTTTCCATAAATATCCGATTTATGACATTGTTTTCAATTCTTTTTAATTTATTTTGAATTAGCAAATGTCAAAACATATGATTAAAATATGCATTAAAATCATATTGTCTATAAATAATATGTCATTTTATAAATAGTATTTATTACTATGGTGCTTGATATGGGTATGAATTTGTAATAAAATATATTCTTTCTATAATTGTTAAATTCATAAGTTTGGCTAAATCAGCACAGGAATATTGTAGTAATAAATAATTTTTCACATGAAGATCTAATTTTTGACATTTGCATTTTATTTTAAATTAATTATAACTGTCAAAATATTTTCTTTTTGGACGAAATTTAATATAATATGATATAATATATACTTTGTCTAGTTTGATTTTGTCAGATTCCAATGATACCCTCAGATTGTACTATTCCATTTTAAGAGGTTACAATTTCCTGTAAGATTAGCATTTGCGATGACAATCAAAACTAGCTGTAAGTGGAATTCTGTCTTAAGGCAATTAAGGCATCGTGCCTTAAGGCAATTTGCTGGAACATCCTGTACCAAAAATTATTATTTTTAAACGATTAACATTTTTGAAAAAAATTTACTTCGGAAAAATAAGATTTTTGACAAACAATTAGACAAAAAATTACTTTTTTTTGAAAAAAAAAATTTCAATTTTTTTTTTTAATTTTTTTTTTTTTTTTTTGAAAACAAATGTGTTCTTTATTTTGACATATTTTGAAAGATCTAAACTTTTTTTCAAAGCAATCGTACTGCTTTAACTGCATAAAGACGAAATATCAAACCGCGTAAGCGCCGCGTCGACGTCTAACGCGTAAACATTGGTACGGAACCCATAGGAATGTAAACCAAAATTATACTTATTGTTAAAATCTCTGTAAAATATCTGATAATTTGATGTGCATATGTCTAATGATAATTTTTGACCGCCAAATGGCATTTTTTTTTACTTTTTTCATTAGATCTCCGAAACCGCTAGACCTGCCTTTATGAAAATTTGATCGGTTCTTCACCT